GAGGTCGTATTTTACCAAAAATCTTAAGAATAAAGTTTTATACACCGAAATGCATTTTATGCCAATTCATAGTCGTTTATCAGGCAAAACATTTTTTTTAAATGGAAGTGACAGCAAGCGAGTGCACAATCGTCCCTCTCGTTCTCATTATTGCACTTGGAATAAGGAAACTTTCTTATTGATTTGATGAGTCAGTTTTATAAAGAAGTTATGAAACTTAAAGTCACTTATCTCAAAGGACGTTTTTGTCCAAATAGTCCGAGCTAACCGCTTGATAAATTGTGCACTTGAGTCAGCAACGTAGCATGTTTAACTGCCTACAATATTTCTATAGTTTGTAGCAAGCTTTTAGTTAACTTAACTGGTTTTCATCGCAGGAATAGTTTAGGATGCGGCGCAAAAGGAATTATTACCATCAGCATATTCGATCCACTGCTTTCGGCATGTAACAGTTCACCTATCCTGTAAAAATGAAGACACCACCAAAATGTTGCCTACCTTTTGAATATATATCTATAAAACGTGCCTTATAGCAACTAGTCGATATGATAAAAACAATATTCAAGATTCGTAACCGAAATAGCGGACTTATTCTTTAAACTAAATCCTGGTCGAATTAAATCAGAATACCTGACCAGAATGGCCAGAATGGACGATTTTGCATTAAGGGTAAATCGGTGAAGTAGACTTTTGTACTTTTAAATACAAATAGGGATCATAGACCCACAAGATTTCATTTATTGACGATGATTTGGCCCATAAAATAACTTTGGTCAACATTCGACCAAGAAAACAAATTGATGATGGCGGTCATTTCTGGTCCTCGTAATTGCTCTCAATCTAGGAATTTTCTGAAATTTTAGCTATCATCGAAGTCACGAATGCTTATCCACGGATAATGATATGACTGGATCATATAAGGTGAAAGAAAACCATAACAAATAGCGGAATATCCCAAATCAGAAATAGAATACCCGCACTCTAAGAACACAACCTTTTACCTAACAGTTTTTAATAACCCCCACCAACTTTGAGTAAAAAAATCAGTTTACTTCTAACAGTGATAAAATGGAATAATTTGGACTGTATTCCGTAGTGTGCGAATCAGATGTTCAAATGAAGTAACGAGGAACTGGAAGTTTTTGAGTTAGAGATTTATCCCTGAGTATGCAAGAGGGAGGCTTATCGAACTCCGGAACCTTTTATTAATTCTTCTGAACTTTCATATTTGTGGAAGATAAAGACAACAAAAGGACATGCGATATTTACAAGGCCTGCTAGTTAACTTAAGGTAAATAGTTTCGTATTCATATGGACCTCTTAGCTCTCTCTCAGGATTTAGAGAAACGAAAAGACTGATCGTTGTCACATTTTCAGAAATTTAGAAAAACATCGGCACAAAAAGTTTAATTATGGTCAGGTCGACGTGCGTTCTCTTTCTAGTTTAGCTTTGTAGGTCATATATATTGCGCTCCTTTAGAAGGATCCGTATAACGAAGGACGAATCCCCAACTGAAAGATGAAAAAAGTAAATGATTTTTGCTTTTATCATCGCTCATCTCGGGTGTCTCATCGTTTTTCGTAAACTGCAGTCGTGTTACAGAGTCATCGGCCAAAGTTTGATTACAACTAAAGAATTTGTTTCAGGACGAAACAAATGAAAATAAGACAGACTGATTTTATTTTTACAGTAGATCCTTTAATGATATTCAATCTCCTAAACGGGAATGCCGTATAAGCTCAACTGTTTGAAATATCGACGATAATTTTTTGGGCAAATTTAAGAACTCGAAAAAGTGTAAATTTTCTTCAGTTGTTCTTTAGAAAGTGATCTAAAATTAGTAGACAAAGAAAATCACTGCTCAGGATGCTTAGCATTATGCGTGAATCTCTGATTTTAATGCAATTAATACTATTAAGACAAAGGGGCGACTGCTGGTACAAGAGCTTTATTCGCCTGACGTTTCGGACTCTCATGTGAACCTATCATCAGAGACACTGACAGTGCGACTGTCTCTGATGATGGGTTTAATTGAGAATTTTAAATGTCAGGAGAATAAAGCCCTTGTTCCTGCGATCGCTTCTTCTTCTTCTTCTTCTTCTTCTTCTTCTTTTTCTTCCTCTTCTTTTTCTTCTTCTTCTGATCAATTATTTCCTGTAACTGGCACCTTCTCTTGTATCGGCAACTTTTGATGTGCTTACTTAGTAGATATAGATGACAGCTAAATGATATCTGAACTAAAGTAAGCATAGACGAAACCGTGCTACGTAGAGAATGCATGGAATCTAAAATGTTTTCTAGATTTTTTGTCGTCGTCAGAAGTCTGAAAGGACAAACTATTCTGGCAAATGTTTTTATCCTCTGATGGAGAATGAAATTACACTTACATGGATGTCAATGAAATTGGAAGCTGCTAATAGATTCGTAACCCAAAGTCATTTTGTGTTTAATTTATAGAGAAAAGCAATTCAACCGCTGAGACACCAGCTGCAGTCTAGGAAGTCTTGTGAATGGCCTGAATTATACCGCATTATTTTCGGGTATTCAAATGGTGGCTCTCCCTACACCAGTTTTGGCCCATGGAGGATGGCCTAAGCTATTAGCCAAGACCGAGGCAGACAATATACTAAATAAAAGTGAAAATTAATATTTAGCTCCCCCATGCATGCCAGACTAATCTTTCCGTGAATACTGACGCCCGTACTTGGAAGTATCTACAAAAGGCGTAATCGCTTAAAAATATTTACCGGGGAAACGTTTCTGCAATACCGCAAAGTCATATAGCTCAATGCATCACCTTATTTGAATTGTTCTCCGGATAATCCTTTACGACATAATCTTAGAAATTCTTTGCTGGTTAACAGTACATGACGATTCATATTATGAAGAACTACGGCCATCAGAGGGCGTTATGCCATTTCCTGAACAGCGCGAACAGCCGCTCTTGGCCGTACACTATGCATTCTGCTCGGTATATTCTAACAAGGTTGCACTGTACTAATGCTCGTGCTTGATGCAGTCTATCGGCCCTCGAGTATAATTCATCCACGACTAACCGGCCAGACATTGTTAGTTGTCTTAAGCCTCAAACATACGTAAACTACTTTTAGTTAGATTCCTTTACAACTTAGGGTAACCTGAAAATGCGTTCGTTTCTATTTATACAAAAGACCGAAACCATTGAGAAGTAAAAAGCCTTAGAAATGTGAAATAGTTTCTTGCTTATAACGCTAACAATTCATATTGTTTTACGTATTTTGAATATTGCATTGGTTCATTTCTCACATGAGACAGGCGGAAATTAGTCAAAACGTGGATTGTCGGAACAAATTTTTAATAACGTTTGATTAACGACTGTTGCACCAACTCAAAACTACACCAGTGACATACGAGTTAACTAGTAATAAATGTTGTTTGTATAAATTTTATCAAGATCAAGAAGTGCATGCTGGTTTAAAAACGACTGTCAGTTAAGAAAAAGAGTGAATAGCGCTAATAGCAAACTTCACTATGTAATTTCCACATCGCAGAACATTTTAACATTACTTGCCAGTGGTAACACGTCTAAATGATCCCCGCTCGCTAATAATGTTTTCTGCGTGAAATCCTTAAAATGATTACTTGGGACTGTGGGGAAAAATTGTCTTTTGACCGTTGGAACGTTGAATACTTCATAAACTTTCTCGATGATTCGACGGTTAAGTCTGCGACTATTCAACTTTTAAGTTATCAGTAATCCACAAACGCTCATTTTCATACGCTGGTCCTAGGTTCCTTAAACTTTAAGCGTTTTCCCCTCTTCATGCCGAGTGAATATACGTCCGGGACCAGGCACTTATTATGACGACTTCAAAAACATACATTTATGTCACAAGCTGGGCCGACATACATTAGATAAGAATTAAGCGCATGAGGAAGAAGTAACCTAAATATTCAGAATAGTTTCCAGGATCGACCTCCCTTCTGCATTTGAATGGCAATCAAAAACCCATTTGTTTATATCCGTTTATGAAACTATGCGTTATTCTGCTACTTTATTTATTTCATAAACTCCTTCATACACTATGCGAGAGGGCAGGATGGACGCCTAGCCCGGCGTTCTTGTGGACTGGTTAGGGATGTCTGCCTTCAAGGTTGCACTGTTTTTAACGGTCAGCAAAAGCTATTATATTGTCAGACATTTTTCAATATAAAGTGGTAGAGAGGCGCTCATCGAACGTGTTACGGAACTCAGTCATCCCTGCGAATAAGCCAGAACTAGCCACCCCAGTCTCTCTTGTATTTGTTGGTAATGTTACTCTTTCAAAATATATTGTTATTCTATCAATATGTGGAAATTCGAGGATCAAATAAACAGAGCTTTCCTGGAGTATGACTGTAGAGTGTGCTCTAAATGTCAACGCTCCCACGTACTTTCGCGTCTTATAATTCCTCTCCTATCTGTAGAAACAGCGGTTTGCAAACAAAACGAGACTTTGAATGGTTTAGTTGAGTAAACCGAAGTCAAGCGTCCATCTCAGGGATTGTTTTTTTCCTTAGAGCTCTTACGTTTGAGTCAAATCATTGCTTGTCACAGTACAGTCCATCCTCATAAATCGGAACATGTCTCCGCAGCAAACGAGTGCGTCGGCTTCGGGTAAGGCGTTGACGGCTGGCATTGGTGGCACCTCCGTCAAAGTTGAAATATTGTTGGGACTTGCAAGCTAACCTCCCGTGCACTGGATGTATTCGCCATTTAGATCTAGAACTATGCAGCTCGCTTCCTGCTGGGTCGATTGACATTGATGAGAATCCGCGTAATTCCGTGCCTGGGACCTGGTGTGACCAGCTTGCTTATCCATCTCACAGCATATGCTAAATCGAGCCATTTTCGTAGGAAGTTTTAAAGGCATAATCTTGCTACCAATGAACGAATTACCTATTTTTAAAAAGAACGTAAAGCATAGCCTTTGTGGATGTTCACAAACAGCGTACCAAATCTTACACCGAAAAAGCAACTGGCCAACAAGCATCATGGATATCATGCTAAAGAAGCCAATTTTGAGAAAGTTGTACTGAAACAGATAATCTAAGAAGGTACTAAAGTCCTTAAAACTAAAGCAAGCAAATTGAAATATTACTAATAAAAGAGATATTAAAAGCATTTTCGGACGTCAGGAAAACCGCGGTTATTATCTGAAAAAGTGTACACACAGAAACCTTCCTTGTAAGCTAGATTTTGAGTTTCACCACCTTCTTCTGGTACATAAGGCAGTTACTTGTGAGCTAACGCAAATAAGTGCTGCCACATGGGAAAGTGAATTTTTAGGACGAAAGTAAATTCAATACACCCAAATAAATTGGTACTCAAATACTCAGACTTCATAATATGCTGAAAACTACCTTTTCTGCTGGGTGAGTAGTCCTTAAGACTGACGGCGTACTGCAATACGGGGCCTTGAGTTTGCAGGCCTACTTGAGGAGGATAATTTGCAAGAGGGTGTAGGAAGGACTCGGAGTGTGAGGCTGCCGCATCAAGACACCGCTGAGCCTGAAATTCCATGTCAAGACGCTCACGGCGACGCCTTTTTGACCTGTTGTAGATCATGAGGATTAGCCAGGCCAGGAAGAGACCTGTGAGGAAGACGATACACCCTCCAAGAACAACACTGAGCATAGTCTTTGCTGGCATGCCAAAGTAGCCACCATCCCCTCGAGTACCATCCAGCCCATCTTGATCATTGACTTGTTGCCGGGAGCTCAAGGACATGTACTCTGCTAGGGTCGGCTGGTTTTGCAGACGAATAAGCAGTCGTTCCACGGGTAGCAGACGACCTTTTTTACTCTGTGGCGGACCTAAATCGTCGGCTGACACCACCAAGAGAAAAACTGAATCACAGTTATCCATCAGGCTGCCAGAATTAACAAACAGCTCCCCAGACTGCTTGTCGAGATAAAAGAGTTCATTGGAGACGGGACCCTGGATGACAGAATATACGATAGTCCCATTTTTACCGAGGTCCGCGTCAGTCGCCTCAATGTGGCCAATCGAACTGCCCATGGTCTCTCTACAAGAAACGTTTAGCTGATTTCCTCCCTCGCTACTTGCACTGGAATTAGGGAAAATGAAAACAGGAGCATTGTCGTTTGTGTCAGCTACCTCCACGAAGATTTCTGCAGTACTGGAAAGGTTTTTTGAGTGAACCAAACCATTTGACATCACCTTTTGCGAGTCGGTAACACGAACCATGAAATGAAAGTGAGCCCGTTTCTCCCGATCTAGGGGCTGCCGAAGAAACAATTTATTGTCGCGAATGCTGAAGTGACGGTGCAATGTCCTGACTTCTGATGAGAAAATGGAGGCGGCAGCGGCGGCACTGTCAGATTCGCTTGAACTGACACCGGAAGTCTGGAATGGTTCGATGGCAAATGTAAAGCCCTGATTTCCGATGTCTACATCGGTAACATTAAAGATGATGAGAGGGTCGAAAATTTGCTCATTTTCAGTCAGGCGTATAATGTAGGTTTCGCGCTCAAACATGGGCGGGTTGTCATTAGCGTCGTCTAAATGGACGATAACCTCAGCGCATGTTTTGTGCTGGCCGTCACTAGCACAGAGACTGAATTGGTGACTTTTTCGCTGTTCACGATCCAGAACACTCTTGGTGCTTAGCTGGCCACTGGATGCGTCGACATCAAACAACTGGTAGTCGATGGATTGGTCGCCCATATCTGAATTGTCCAGTTCAAATCTAGGGGATGGTGCGGTGCTCGGTTCGATATGATAAACTAGAGAATTGTTCATATCTCTGTCGAAGGCGGTCACTGGCATTGGTTGATTTTCGCCCACCGTGAGCAGGAGGGTACCAGGCGGACTTCCTTCAGCTACATGAAAAGCATAAATAGGTTGAGTAAACTGAGGAGCCTCGTCGTTCTCATCCAACAATACAACTCTAATCGATTTCTGGCTCACTAACGATGGGTTGCCGCTATCAGAGCATTCAATTGTCAGGATATACTCGCTTTTCTGCTCGCGGTCCAATTCGCCGGCTGTTTCAAGACTGTAGAAGTCGGCAAACTTGTGAATTCGAAATTTAAGTGTCCAGTTTAGGAGGTGACACATTGTTAATCCTGTACCATCCTGATCTCTGTCCGTGGCGCTGAAAAATACCAGGGACATTCCCTGTGGTGAGTTTTCCGGCACTTCCACTGTCTCGATGTCGCCGTTTGGGCGGGTTTGACCATCGCCGACTGTACCCTGAAGTTTAATTTCAGGAGCATTGTCATTGCAGTCTTTTACGCGGATGTCTAGAGTAAGGGTTGCGGTTTTACGTTCCTTTTTTATACTTTCTGTTATGGCTCGGACGGTTTTCTTAAGAAGCCGTTTCGTCAAATTTTCCGATTCTAGGGTAGAATCACAGTTCGCATCAATAGCCAATACTGCCAACTTATACCGTTTTGTGCGTTCATAGTCAAGGCTACGCTCAAGAGTCAGTCGTCCACTGAGAGGTTCCAGTGAGAAGGTGGTAAGCACTTCGTTTGGGGGGAAACCGGGACCAAGTTTGTAGATTATCTTGTTAGCGGGTGGAGCGTCTTTATCCTCTGCCACAACCTGAACTAGTGTCGACGGAACAGATATATTTTCATAGATTTGAATCATTCGCCAGCCATTTCCCTGATCTAACATATCGGAGACTTCTACGTTCCCTACTCGAGTGACGGAGACAAATGTTGGCGAGAATTCATTGACATCCAACACATGCACGTACAAACAGATCGTGTTCTGTTTCCCTCCACTGTCTGCAGCGTACAGGATGAGTTCATATTCTGCCTGGGCCTCTCTGTCTAGCTCTCGGGCAACTTCAAGAGCCAAAGAAGAGTCCTTTGCTTGGTAAACCAGTCGAAATGGCCCAATCGCTACCCACGTCGGTGTTGATCTGCTGGTATCTATAGGAAGCTCAACCTTCCGCAGCGTCCCAGGCTCGTGGAAGGAGTCCGATTCAGGTGATTTAATAGCAATGGAATAGGTGATAGCCGAATTTTCTGGCAAAAAGTCATCATCAACAGCAGTGGGTAAGGCAAAACTCTGTCCAATGCCTTCCATCCCTTCAGGAAAAGTGATGTGCAAGCAGTCCATACCTGGTCCATGAGAAAGCTCAGATCTCACCGCATCCACATCCAGGTCCATATGAGCAAAATGAGGCGCATTGTCATTAACATCCTTTATTACCACACTGATCCGCGAGACGGGTTTTAATGTCGTTGATCCTCCATCGTTCGCAAGCACCACAGCACTCAGTTTACACTGTGGTCCCTTCGTGAAAAATTGATTGTAACCAATTTGGTTATAAGTGCCATCGTTCTGGCCGAAGAATGCTGTGCCTGTCTGAATTTGGCCTTCCGTTCGACAACAAGACTTGACTGCGTGGCACAGCTCACCAGACTCAAGGTCGAGACTTTTTAAGACGGTTAGAGTATAATCCGGATTCAGCTGGAAGAAAGAATTCAGTTCTCCGGGGCCGAGTCTGACCTGCCTCTCTTGAGATATATGTAGGTATTCACGAAGGTCCTTTAAAACCACGCTGCCAACAGTAAAATTTTCAAACACCTGAATTTCCGCCTGATCTCCACCCGTATATGTCTTCACGCCTGGATAGATAGCGTCGTACGCGTCCGTGAACAGCAATTGATGGAATAGGAAGATGAGCAAAAGCACACAACCGATTGGACTGCAAGCATCCATGTTTTCTGCCGTTTATGTCGCGATGAAGGCGGGGGATAGCTTATCTGTTCCTCATCGCAATTCAGTGGCTTAAAAGATGACCAGAGTCAAGTCAATTTTAATGATGATATGAGTTCCTATGTGTGTAACCGTCCTCTATGAACTGCGAACGTGATGTTGTGCACAGGCGGCGATAGTCGGACAAAAACTGGCCTCTCAGAGTCTAAGAAGAGGCAGTAACGGGCTAGCCCTCATTCCATGCATGTGTCGGGAGATATGCATGTGCGCGCACAGTAGTTGCTGATGCTGTCGCCTCTGCTTTCGTGGCATGTGTTGGGAGCCGAGCCGGCCAGCGCGAATATCTAAACGCGTGCATTCTGGCTAGTAGGCGCGCGCCCAACATCACTTCGCCCTAATTGGTCGAACAGGTTCGATGTCGATTGGTCCACAGCCGGGTCCACAGCTGAATCATGCACGCACGGCGCAGGTTGCCGCTTCTTCAGCCATTGCTGCAGCCACGGGAGCGCCCAACTTTTCTGTGTTTACGTTAGGGAGATTAGCTGCGACGGGGCTGATCCGCGTGCCGTTAGGGCGCACCTCTTCCCAGCATATGCGACAGCTAGTGGACAACATGGTTTTTAGGTTGTCGCTGTGGTGCGTTTCACACCCTTGCCATCCCCATCGACAAGTCGATGGCGGAAGATCATCGACGGCGAAGGGCCATAAAGCACGTTACCAGACGACAGACTCCTCGATTCTAGGACCTCCCGACTGATTATCTCGCTCGATCTTTTGTATGAAAATTTTCTAAAGAAACTTGAAGGAACATCATGAAAGTACTCAGACTTCCCGATCAGAAAACAAGAAGAAAAATTGATCAGTTATTTTTTGTAGTATCACTCCTATTTCGGGCCCTAGCGGGAAATCTACTCGGAGACCTGTCTGGGAGACTTTCCTGCTGATTTGAGGGTACTTTCATAATACAATTAAAAGTAGAATCAATAAAGTGTGATATACTGTGTTCTCTTTGTCACCGCCCCATTAAGTGACAAATCACGCAAGTAGAAAATAAAAGCAATCAAAACACCTTTTAGACTTTCATCTCGTATGCCTATTTTATATCCATTTTTCTGGACATAGCTGTTAAGTGGATAATATAAAAACTGTTTCTACTACTATTGAACGAAAAAATTCCGGTAATTGTTTGGCGGATAACAGTTAATGGGATGAGGGCTTTGGTTTATTTGAAAAAACTTAGGAAACGTGCTTACGAAGTATACTGAACCTTTTATTCAATTGCTAAGCAAACATGTGATAGTTTGTCGGGGAGTCCAAACTTTCATTCCAACTGAAGTGGAAAAACTGCTCAGACTTCATATCATAATAAAGGAACTATTCCAGCGCTCTGCATCAAAAAATGCAAAACTCCACTGAAAATAAGTCATTGAGGAAGATAAACAGGGTGATTGTTGCTCCTCCTCGAAACAGAGCTTTCTAATATCACCGAAAGAGTTGCGTTGTCATATTAGACCGAGCGTTCGCATCAAGGCGTCCACTGCGTCCAATTTCATTTCGAGTCCACTTTACCGGGGCGCGCCATGAAAATGAAGGCTGAGGCTGATCTATTTGATCTGGAGCTAAGGTCCTTGCCCCAAATATACAAATGGGCTCTGGAAGTATTGCTGGCTGCTAATGTTCATGGCCTGGAGGATAGCTCAGACCTCTTTTGGGATGCGGAGTAGACTGCATTTGGTCATTCTTAATGACGTCCTTGTGACACATACTTTTGTTATGTACGAAAACCCTGTGATCAAACCTTGCGTTTGTTAATTCAGCAAACATGTCATATGAGAAACACATAAACTGGTTGCATAACTGGGCCAAATACTGCATCTTCGTCCGCACACGGACAAAGTGCGTTGAGTTGAGGAAACGAAACCGGGGTAAATGCAGTGTTCTTCTGTTCATCCGTAAAAAATAATATACAGGTCACTAGAATGCTGTTATCGTGACCGTATGAACCGTCTTGCTCTCGACTGTCGAAATCTCAGCACCACTTGTCCGGTTTACAACGACTGTAAAATGTCTGGGTTCTGAGAAATGGTGCTGTGTTCCCAGAGTGGAACATAATATGGCCATACTAAACTCTGTAATCAGAAGATGGACAATTTCAACTCTACTTAACGTCAGTATAGCCAAAACTATGGTAGGAGAAGGCAAAAAAAATAAGTTAAATTTACACAGTGGCAAAATATGCGTTGTTGTACATCCGCAAGCATGCTCCTAAATTGATCAGTAAATCCTTGCCCAAACAATCCAATAAATCCTAAGAAAACTGTTTTGGAACAGAATCCAAACATTCAGTTAGTTCTTTGAAATTCCGGTTGCGAAGATTTTGTGCCTCTGCAAAGTACCTGTGCATTTTCGCTCCTAAAACGGTCCACGCGGTAGATGTGTTGGACCGACAAAAGGGCTATATCGGAGTTCGGCAGGCGTTATCAAGAATGCTCACCCATGACAAATTTGAGCATTGAGGTGTGACAGCACTTCCAGTTGCAAGCTCACGCCACGCCATTTTGGGTCCGATCCGCCCGCTAATTTTATCTTGGATTTGTTGTGGACCAGGGGATGAGGTGGTACGCCCAGGTGCGGGTTTACATCGTGCCGTCCACTTGCATCTCTCCCTCCTTCGGTCGTCTTGACTCTGTTTTGACACCGAGCCCAGGTGGGCGAAAAGAGAAGGCGGTAGATGCTGCGCAAGTCTCCTATAAACTAAGTCACGCGCAAGTCACCGTACTTCCTCTCACCCTGTTGTGAAATAACCGGCGGGCATCGTCGGCAACAACGGCCCGACTGACGTATTTGTATATTTCAGCTTAACTATCATGAAGGGATAATTGGTGGTCAACGAAACAACGAAATACACAACTTGAAATGACTGCACTGTCTTTTGGTGGGATAAAGCTTTGCCTTTCATAGCCAAATATTCGTTTGGTATTCATATTTAATGACGCTGCCGACAGAAAATAAATGGCCGAAAAGCAAAATGGAACCAATCGCAAGGTCGCCCTGCGTAACCTATCTTGATTTCCCTTGCCGCTCTCATACGCAATTTAATTTAAACGGCATATGCAGACACGAAATGAAACTATCTGCAGGGCGAAAAAATAAACAGCTAGCATTAATACTTTCCCCAGTGGAAAATTGTATGTTTGTCAACAAGACGTTAGGGAGGTAACCGAATAAATTTGGGAGTTGTCTCTAACGGTCGCAGTACTGGTTACCTAGGCAGTTCCTACCTACCAAGCAACCTTCATTTTTTTCGCAAATATTTATGATTTTACTCAATTCAATTTTGCCTTCCTCGGCGATCTTCCCAGCTAGACCAGCACTAAGTTTCATTAAAGCAAACATCATAATTAGTCCTTTCTGTTTTAAGTTTCAAACTATGCTTTACATAAATTCACAGTTGTGCGAAAAATCTGTTCGGCTTTAATTCAGTGAGGTCGAATATTTACAAGACCAATACGAGCATACTAGGAAAATTCCACCCCCTTTATTAATTTTGATAGCACCCAGTTCTTTAGGTTTGATGAGACCATCCTCTAGATATGCATCCTGTTTCGTTTTTCTTCACATCCTGCAGATTTTCCTTCATCGAATCGGGCGGTCGCTTTTATTAAAGCCATAAGATCGCTCGTGTTTTCATGCCTTGTATCGTGAGCCCACGGGACTGGTTCTCGTAAGTTATAGCTGCGTTATTGATTGAAGAAATGCTTATTTAGCAATATTTCGATGCAGAGAACGTTGCATCAAATGGATTTTCACATGACCGCTGTGAATTTCGAGGAGAGAGATCTTGAACGAGAGAGGGCAGGTAAAGTGTTTTTGTAGCGGCTTATCGACAAATAAAATATTTGTGAACCGATTGCTATGGAAAGAGAGTACTGTTGCAGTCTCAAACAGATGTCCACCGTTTGATAAAAATCATGTATGTCCAGCTCATCTTTCAACTAATTGCCAATGCAAGACGCAGTACAACAACTGGAAACAGCTACTATCTGCTAAACATAATTTTTCTAATTCTTTTTTCCAAACTTCGGACTAGATTTTGATTTTATTGGAGAAGTTGGAAACTGGCGAGTTTCGTGTATTACCCAGACTAGGTCTTCTTCTGATAGACGCTCCCATGGTCGGGTCTCCTGTTTAGGACATTTGAGAAAAGGAACGAACCAGCCGTTTCCTCCTCCAACGTGAATTTGAATGACGTATGTGCCTGATTTGTAACATTTACGAAGGTACTTACGTCGGTTTTTACGGTGGCAATTGCAAAGATATCGCCAGCATAGCGGCCGTAATGTTTAAGTTTATCGATCTGCTCG